AACCTAACGGTTATGCTGTAATTTCTTTTAACCACCTTCTTTCATCATGAAAGTCTGTTTGAAAATTAACCTAAGTTGACAGGAGAGGAAATAAGAAAGGGCTAAGAAGGAATTTTATTCACATATATGAGAACCAAAACAAGCCACTTAAGGTTGAAGTAAATACTTCTAGCTAATTCAAGATGAGTTTTCTTGTTTACTGTATTAAATAAAAAAATCCTCAAAAAGTCAAATCATGACTTGACAAAATTTTTGCCTAAGACACTTCATAGCAAAATCAATGATTTGACCAGACCCAATGTGCATTCATGTGGCCAGGGAAAGGGCCAAACCACAGGTGTCAGGACAGACAGTCTTTGCTGATGATCTAATTTTCATAGCCACAGTACAAGCCAGCACTGGGATTTATTTCTTTCTTCTCAAAATGAAAATCCTGAGTATACAGAGAACAGCAAAACTGGAAGAGAAGCATTCCTTATACACCCTTCTCTTTTGTTCAGCTACTGACAAATAGTTATGTTCAGTGGTGTTTTCTCATTAAAAACTATATATTTAGAACACAAAGCCATGAAATGTTTAATATCATTCTGGAAAACTGACTTGTACAGAGTTTAAGTACATTTATTGTTTAACAAGCGAATGGCAAAACTTATTTTAGGTTCCTCAGAGCATTTCAGATATTAGCAGGCTTTATAGAGGTAAGAATCACAGGATTACTAGGGATGTCAATACTATAAAGCAGAATTAAAAACTACAATGAATATGTCTATTACTATCACTTCAGAACTATGCTACAATCCATTACGCTTTCTTAGCAAGTTAATGAACTTCTTTGTCCCACACACAAAGGATCTGCAGTATAATAAAGTTATTAATGAAAATAAGTCAACCTTTTAGAAGGAATAAAAAAGGATCACTGGCAAATAGGTAAATGTAATTCACTTATTCAACAATCATACTATTGTTTTGTAAACAATACAAATTTTGAAAAGGCTTATCACTTCACGCTGTACACAGATCTTTTGTAAAATGTTGGTGCATGTATTTCTCTGAACATCTAAATCAGTTTTTAAAAGCTAAGTTTTGCTTATAATCTGCAACAGGAACGTAACTACAGCAACTAAAAACCACCAAGTGCTATTTCAGGAGTAACAAGTAAGGTTTACAAGCTTTAAAAATTTCTCATGCCAACAGCTGTTGTTTTTATTTTATTGTGGTTTAATATGGTTTCAGAATTCCCTCAGCAAAAAGACGAGTGACTTTTTAAAGTATAAAATGTATCTGATTCTTCTTACCTTATACTGAAGGACAGGCTGATTTGTTAGAAGTTTTGTTTGTTTCACATATTAAAAATGAAGCAATAAGGCACAATGTGGAGGAGTGATTATCTGATGATAACCCCAGCTTCCTGAAACTGCTTTATTGCAAATATAAATATATTTTAGATTGTTCATTGGATATTAAGGGCATTAGTATGCTCATAGAGTTTAATCTCTCCCTTTAGAATATTAAATTCATAAGGCTTTTTTTTTTTTTGTGTCTAAGCTATTTTTAATGTGCAAGAGAGGACTTCATATACTCAAGAAATACTGTAATTGGCTGGTGCATACTCCACTGGGGAGATTAATTTACAAGCACTGTACAGTTCTGCTAAAACTACTTCTCAACATTTCAAAATGTCAATAGTATATTTTCCCAGCCCTGTAAACACATTTTGATACACGATATAAACTTTAATGGTAGTTTTAAGACACCTCTGGGGGTATGGTTATTTAAGCAATAAGACACAGTAGGGTGTGAATTATGGTATAATAATTCCCTACCAACTGCATTGTTAGGCACAAGGCCAAAGGCCAAGGGACCAATGAACACACTAGGTGTGAATTATGACATCATATGTCACACTCTGGAGTGCCTTACTGCCATTAGAGAAATATTTAAAACATGTTTTAATGCAAATACTTTATTCCTATAGTACTATATTTTAACTGAATATCCTGAAAAATCCTCCCAAGTAAAAAACTAGCCATTACATAACTTGGAATTAATAAGTATATTGAAAAAAAATGGTCTCATGTCTTCAACTGTTTAGTTTGTTGTATTGCATTCTGTTAACATGCTTTAAGGAAGACCCCCAGAAAATACATGTCTTACTGAAGTTTGTAAAAAATAGAATGAAGGTCTTCTGCACAGCGGTGGGGATAATCTGCTTTGCTTATTGTCTGGAGATTCAGACTGCCTGAATCAGGTTGGTACTGGTTTCTCCTGTGTAACTATTAATGAAACTGCTAAATATCTACATACCTTTTTTCTACAGTTGGCTCTTATTGCTGTAATAGGGCACAATTCAGGCTGTGAAAGAGTAGTAAAAAGGTTCCTTAGACCCCATTTGAGCTCCTGCAGCTGAGGCTGATCACAGCTCTATCACAACTTTTAATAAAGACTGCAAATAGTATAATGTGCATTTATACTACTTCCCATTTAAAACTCCTTTTTAAACTCCATTTGACAAATGTATTCTCTCCCCTCTGGGTACTCTCACATTACAAATGCAGCAATGACAACAGTGTCATCTGGAGATACACAAGCTCACCTTACAAATAGTCAACTTGGTGACTGGTAGCAAGTTCATTGCTGCAGCAGGGATCTTGGCAAGATTTAAACTGGCTTCTCAGTCAGTTTTTACAGCTTGCCCTAAACTACCAGGCTGCTGTGGATTGACTACTACCAGCTGCCAAGCCAGGTAGTGGGCATTAGAGTCACCAATATGATACAGCTTATGAGAGGGCCATTTGCCAGGCCCATTTGAGGAGTGATAAGCCTGAGTGCATGTCTACACGTCTCAGTGCAGTGAGGTGTTCAGGATTCCTAAGCTAGCTGGGTAGATGTTGTTATGGCTATGTATAGTGAAGCTGTGCCATGTAAGGATAACAATTTGCACCCTGGAAGCAATGTAGTTGCAAGGTCACGTTAATTAGCTCTCATGCATCCAGGGATCTTTTACACATGGATCTCTCTCTGTCCCTGGTTATCTGAAAACACAGAAACCTCAATTCTTCCAGGCAAAGCCTTATTTTGACATAATTGTTTAGCAGGTGAGAGTTGTTTTCTGCATAACCTCGAAGTGGTTAGCTGCCCCTCCCAGATAAAGTAATGATCAATGACCATTTACATCAGCTAAAGGTACAATTCAGATTCCAAGGTCTCTGCTTCTCCATGAAATAGAAATGGGTAATCTTAACAGAGAGAACTTTCTATGAAGCTAACAGTGTAATAAGGTAAAATTCTGAGCTAACCTGGTGTCTTGCCTTCCTTGTCCACTCAAAATTTCTATTTTAATCTCCTGCAAGTGAATGTGCTTAATTCTGCCTACAGCTTGATAATACTCATGGGAACAATTTGAGTTTTGATGCTTCCCTGTAAAAAAAAACAAGCACGTGATTGCTTTTTGCCATTCAGCCTGTATGAAGCTTCTGTCAAACATGATGGAAAAACCTACATCTCCAAACAGGTCTTTTTTTAACTTTCCTAACAACTTCTAAACAAGGGTGAGAGCACTTTTTTAAACCTAGCTTACATTTGAAAATATTAGTTTTACATCCACTTGCAAAATTACAAGCACTTTTCCTGGATCCCAGTAGGAATGAGGCAAACAGCCAAGAAAAGTGTTTCACACTGGCTCTACATACTCTAAGAACTTAAAATAAAGCAGTCCCTGACAAAATACCTGTGTATATATATAAATTACACCTTTTAGTAGAAAAGCAGTATTTCAAAGAGTGCTGAGCAGTAGCTAACAAGTTTCCAGCAGCACGTTTTTCATAAATTAATGTTACTACTCAGAACTCATGTTCACCAACTAGAATGCTCCAATTTTTGAAAGCATTTCATTACACGAAATTTGAGGTATAAATGCATCACTGTACCATCATAAGGACATAATCCTTTGATATACCCATCTCCATAAAACCTTCTGGCTTGTAACAGTAAATCACAGCCCTATTTTCATACCTCATTACCATTATGTATCTTTCCACTGACACCTGACCTTATGCATAATCAGGTATGAATTTCAAACCATATTTATAATCTAAATGAGTGCCTCATTATTTTACATAACCCAGAATGAAATAAGATTTGAGATGTAGCTGCACACATTCAGAAACACAGGTCCACAGAAAGGAAGTCATTCCCTCTAATTCATGGCTGTGAACAGCATCAAATCACACCTGTATATAGAAGCTTTGCAAGAATTTCAGGATTAGACTTTAGAAAGGATATTGCCAGTTCTGACAAAACAACACAGTGTTGAAACTGTTTGGTATGTTGTTAAAGATAAACTATGAAAGAAAAATGCAGGTACTGAGTGTATGACCTGTATTTTGAAGAAAGAACAACAGCACCAATTGCATGAAGTTATAAAACACCGGTAATAAACACGTAAATAATCTTCAGGTTTGCAACGCCAGTAGAACACAGACATCTACAAAGAAATATATATATATGTATACATGTAATATAATAAAACCATTCATTAGGGAACAAGAAACATCATATTTTTGTACTATACAAAACAGCTGTACAGTGTGGACATAGACTTTCCCAAGCTCTCTAAAATGCCTGTCAGACACCTCTCCCCATCATCATTTGCTTAACACAGTCTCTTCAGTGTCCATAGGAAAATTCTAAATGACCGTCTTGTACTTTTAAACTAAGTACTTATAGTGCAGTTTGTCTCCATATATATATACACATGCATACATATATAAAGTCACAGATGAACACATATATGTATATGTGTATATATATGAAAAGAACAAACACACACATGTACACACATACACACAACAGATCTAAACAGCTCCTCCATCCTGTGCTCTTGAATGAGTGCTTATAAAAAATCCCTGCACGCTTTGTGAAGGGAAGAGAACTTGCTGATAGCGCAGATTGAAGTCTTAAGATGGTTTCACTCCTAACAGCCCGCAACACACAATTCTGAATCACATGGTGGAATCCCATATGCCCGAAGAGAGTCTGTTGCAGGAGGTATCTTCTACCTTCTTCAGCAGCGTTGGCTTTTTACAAGGGGGCGGAGGTGGGGCTGTGATTCTTTGCTCAGTGTTGTGCAAGATTTGCTGCCAGTCTTCTCTCTCTTCACACAGCTTTCTCCTCCAATCTAGAAGCTCTTGCAGAGCCACACTCTCATTCTCTGAAAGTCTAAGCTGATGAATAACCTGTTAGTGAGAAGGAAATAATAATAATGAAAAAGGTGGATAGAGTTAATTCTCCTGGCAGTGCAAAACAGCAACATCCAGCTGAGTGATAATTCACACAGGATCCTCTGCCTCTTGTTATGGATGTAAACCTGTGGGCACGGCACATTCAGGTCCCATTTTTCTTATTTCCTTTTTCAAGTGACATGTGTAATGATGTATAAACAATAATGACTGTCAGCAAAATAACCTTCCCTTGAACTCATGAGAGGTGTTTTGTACTGCCAAGACCTCTGTGAGGAGGGAACCACCTTCTGTTCTCCATCCATTATTTGCAAAGGGCACCATGGAGCATTATAAGCTTATCCACACATTCTAGAATGATGTGTGAAACCCTGAGACTGTTGCAGTGTGCCCTGGCTTAGCCATGTTAGATGGTGAGTGGCTGTTAGTGCTCCCATTCTAATATTTACAACTAAAGAAACAAACAGATGCATGTGGGTAAGCACTCAAGTTCTACACTTTTGCTGAGGGAAAGCTACTCTCATTGGCGCTAGAGCCGAAAGAAAACATATCAAACAACCCTGTTAATAATTTGAAGCAATCTTGTCTCCAAAGGGGTTTTAAATTGTGCTGAAGTCACTGCCTCCACTCCCCATTTATAATTCTTTACACTGAAAATGAAGAAAATTAACAATTTAGAATTGACTTATTTCAATCTCATGTCTGAAAGGCACATAAATGAAGTATCAAACAGGTACCAAAAATGAAACAAATGGAAAAAAATCCCATGTCAGCAAAGGGTACATGACCACAATCCTCTGAAACACACAAAACAGACTGCCTAGAGTAGTCCATGTTTCTAACAACTTGATCTTAAAATGCCATCATATAATACTGTTATAATCACAAAATACTCCTTTACACAGAGCAAACAGCAGCTGCCAGAGTAGGACAGTTTTGCCCCTAAATGTAAATACCCAAATAGCCATAACCAAGAAATTATAACCTGTTTTGCTGCTTAAAATTAGTAATGGTACTCACCACAGACAGGTATTATCCTTAGAACCAGGGGCTGGCCCTTTACTTCCTTCAGAGAATACATTAACAACTCAAAATATAGTTTCAGTTGGCCTGAAATTATAAATTCATCTTGAAGCAGCCAAACGGTTCTGCACTAGATTCATAATCCATCTAGAAGAAACTGTTCTCACCCATTCATTTTTTTCTGTTTCAATGATTATTATTTTTGTTCAAGTCAGTTTGAAGCCCTTGTGACCACACAAGTTCACACAGCTATGAAGTCCATCTCACTGTCCTTTAAGATCTCATTACCACCCATGCAGTACAGCAGCATGGAGAACAGGTACTGAGAGCTATTTGCTTGAGGGTATTCTGTAGCAGATGGGGCTACCACCACAAAGCTAATGGCCCATGGCCCTTATCCTGCTACCTTCCTTCTTAAGGAGCTCACAGGGGCACCTAGAAGAGGCACCTACAACTTGACTATAATACCCATACTTCATCTCACACAATGGGCTCACATGAGAAATATGACCATTCTTGTCAAGGTTGTATTTGTACTCCTTGTCATAATGAGAGACAGCTGCATGTTAGTTACCATGATAAAGGAATTGTTGTGCAGAGCCCTTAAATGCTCATGAGACACTATGCATGTGGTTGGTTCCAGTTGCAAGGAGGTAGAGTGACATGAAGGGCATTTTTGCCACTGATGAGCAATGACGTTTCCAGTGTAGAAGAGTTTGCTATTTCCTGTGGTTCCTGCTGTTGGTTCATGGATTAGAAGGCACCTCGGTACAGAGGCTTATGCAGGCTTTACACTCCTGCTTCAAATGTGTCCTGTGCAAGTCAGACCTTTCACATGTGCTGTCAGAGAAGGAATCTTCATGCTTGAAGATCGACAGGGAATCTGCTTAATTTCTGGTTCCAGAGAGAAATTCATTAACCTATATAATGTCTTAATAAAAGGTATTATAGTTTCAAGCACAGTTGTAAATTCTGCATTTATAAGAAAAAAAAGAAGAAAAATGAAAAGTGTTTAAAAGACTTCATTAAAGTATATCCCAATTGCATACCACTATGAAATCAAAAATCTCTTTTATGTTTACACAAAATGCAACAGGGCATCTTGGCAACTCGAAGGAGAATGAAATGTTCCACAGATATTGTTAGAGGGAATTTTAATCCTTCCTTTTTTTCTTTTCTTTTTTTTTTTCCTCAGTGTAAGCAGGAAAGATTAGAAGTCAAATGAAAAGTTTGTAACTGGAAACTATCAAGAAAGACAGGTAAGGTAGTTTTATCCTACAGAACAGGTGTATAGTTTGGGAGGAACTGGGGTTTACTGTGGCCAATTTCTATAGATTTTTGTGGGTTTAATTTATGGGCATAACCCAGTTTAGAAAACTGGTAAACAGGAATCCAATCTTCCCAACTTAGACACCTTATTTGCATCTAATTTTAGGCACTTGATGAACCCGTATTAGGCACGCTTCTCAGAGAGGTGCTGGAACATACAAAAAGCAAGTTGTCTTAGACTGTCATTGCAAGAGTTTCACATGAAAGAGTTTCAGAGATAATCAAAGATGTGCCTGAACACTAGTAGATCAGTATAAGAAAACAGGTATTTTGAAACTGTGTTACTGGATGTGCTCAGGTAACAAAAGTTTGATAGCATGACTCTAATGAAGTATGGAGGGCTTTTGAGATTTGAAGGATGGATGAAGTATTTGAACAGAAACATTGCCACTGCTATTCTAAGAAACATAAAGGCACACAGGTGCAGGGTGGAAAGCAAGTACATTTTGCCTAGGCAAGGCAATCAACAAATGCATCCTATTTATAGCTTATAGGCACTGAAGAAGCTTTATTATACTGACTCTGCTTATGCAAGCTGTAAATTAATGTTGAGTCAGCAGTTTCACTATAGAGCTCATTTTCCACTGTACAGTGGACAAATGTTGGTTCAGTCCACTAATAAGTGTACATCTTTTATTGTGTTTTTTTTTAAAGAAGGATGGAAAAATATCTTAAATATTTAATCATTATGAGATTGATCTGGTAAGTAAGGTACAAGTTTATATTTCAAACTGGATGAAAAACGTGACGAAAATGCAGTGGAAATGAAATTGGGGAAAATGCACAAGAAATGGGAGAGCTTTAAATGAATCAATTCCTTTCATTAGATCTATTTGAATAACATGGTATCTTTTCTCTTTTCCATTCATGATTAGACGTGTGACAAGCTAAAGATTTATTATACATATTCATCATAGAAAAGATTTGCTGAATAATTTTACATGAAGCACAATGTAAAACAGCAAGCTATGTTTCTTCATTATTATTCTATATCCCAAAAAGGTATTTTGTGAAGGGTGAATGAGGTGTGTAGGAAGTAATTACTTTAAGACTACTGATCTTGAAGTTCTACAATGAGCACTGAACAGATGAATTCAACCATTAAGGGGTAGAGATCGTACCAATTGTAGACCAGGATGTTACTACTCAGTGTCAATGGTCATACATGGACAACATAGCATTTGGGCTAGACCTACACAAGCATACTGCATTTGAATACCCAGCATTTAACAGCCCTGACATCTGGTGGAAACACCACCCCTGTGTTTGGTATCCAGGGTCCTTACTGAGCAAACAAAAAAAGCTGAAGTGCCAAAGACAGTGATGCATGGAGCATGTGCAAGAAAAGAGCAAGAGTTACCAAAGCTTTTCACTGGAAACTGCAATGGATTGCAGAAGTTTAACAAGATCCATATTTCCCACTGCAAAGTATGGCAAGATAAATATAAAAATATGTGATGAGTAGCCCAGGGAAGAGATCTCAGAATTCATTCCTCCCACCTCACAGCCCAAACTGTCAGACTGCAGAAGCAAGTGCTCCCCTCCTGACACTAGGGATTTTGGTTGATGACAGAGTACCAACGGCTCCGTTCCATCAGGACACACATGAAAGGACTTCCACCATTATCTAGAGGTAAGAGCATACTGGGAAATCAGAAGATGTGGATTGGACTTCTCTCAGGTTAAAGAAGAGACCGAGTTCCCACATTCTGAGATGACACTGTGACTGCAAGAGGTGGCCTCTAAATGTAAGGAAGAAGAACTTTGGCTCCTGTGCTTTGTGCTGCCCACATGTGATTAGTATGTTAAAGCAAATCCTTCAGGGGTGAGTTCCTTTTAGGTTTAGCACACAATAGATAGTGGAGATAAAGCATTTTGGTTGTATGCTGGTGGCCGTGAAAATCTTAGAGCATGATTTTGCCTGCTGAGTTACACACATTTAAGTATTACATAGTCATTTGAGAATGAGCCCCTGAATTACCTTCTGGATTTAGGTTTCTAAATTCCGCCTAAACCTTCACTTTATGGGCTAAAGCAGACATGCTGGATTTCAACTTTGTTCTAGAACCAAGATGAGTTGCCATAAGTCAATAAATTATTTTAGTTATAGTCTTATTTCTTAGGCTAATTAAAAATCAGCAAGTTTTAAATTATGGAAAGTTGAAGGTTTCACATTTTTAAATCATTTGCAACAAAAGTTATGCCAGGTAAAAAGATTATCAGGCCCATTTAAAATTAAATTTAATTTGAGTATTCAGAGACTTGGCTCTAGTCTCAGGAAATTCATTCTGCATTAAAAAACCAAGTGCTATAACTTCACAGAGAATATTTTGTAACATTAAGAAGTAACAAGGAACTGGTGTTGTCTATTTGTGTGTCAAATGCAACACAGGCTTAATCATTAAGCTATGGCTAAAGAACTCTAACTGCCAAAGAGATTTATTAATTTGCATTAGTAGATTCTTCTGAGGATTTCACCTCATTTTGTTCTCTTCCTCACAAAATGTATAGTTTACTTTTCCAAAAATACATGCATTGTACATTAGTAGTTTTTTTGGTTGTCTATGATCACACTGATTTTTCTACTACAATTCACCAGATAATGAAAACAAATATTTAATTACATTCTTGGATGCTAAAACATA